TTCTCGGAAGTTTGGACCCATTTTACAAAAGGAGATGAAAAAACCAAAGGTCATTACGAAGCAACTTGTAAATATTGCCATCAGAGATGGGATAGAGCTTATCCTAGTAGATTGGAAATTCATCTAGCAAATCAATGTATTGAGTTTCAGCGTCCATTTGTAGTTTCGACAACAAACCGCAGTTTTGACACAGTGATTGAGTTTTGACAGAGTGACCAAGTTTCGGATTATTAGTTTCTATAACCTTTTTTTTTCCGAGTTTCGGCATCATCACATTTTAGTTTAGGCAAACTTCTATATATTGAACATCTTTCTCTCTCACTCACTCATATGGAAAACTGCTCTTTGACAACCTATTAATACCAAGAGATGGTTCAACATGTAACATTTGATTGATTATTGGATATTCGGAGCTCAAATATTCAAAACATCACATTTATTCTCATCTTCCTTATCTACAAAAGGCTAATCTGACTCATCAATCTGTATTGCATCCCTCGATGATATGATGATACAAATAAATTTCAGAGGGGGTTGATTAGCTCTGGAGTTTATCGAAATTGCATTGTTATCAAGGAGGCTGTTGAAGCCTCTTGCTTGTCCAAAGTCTTCCGACATGTGGTGGCCCTCACCTGTGCAAAAAAATTACACAGTTATGAGCATGTTAAGAGCACCCAACTGCTATGTTTTTGAAGGGAAAATTTATCAAATCTGAAACCTATGATCATGGTGGTGTTGCTTGATTGAGGTGTATAAGATGGTGGTGAATTCGAAACTACAGGTACAGGATAACATACATGACCAACCCCGACTCCACCATCTCTCAATCATCAATTCAAATGATATCAACCACTTAAACCAAATCATCACCAAATCAGCCACCATCATCAAGAACACCAAGTCAATGCACCTTGAACATGTCAATGCCAACCCTGCTTACAATAAATATCAGATTTGTGATTTTATTGAATATTTTTAACAAGCCCTACGGCTTGTAATTGTATAATTGGGAAAGAAAATCAATGTTGAGAATATTATTTATTTTCACAAACCCAGAGATCTGGGTAGATGCACATTATTATGTGACTTAAATTTTCATTACTTGGTGATGCAATTATTTGTTATGTCAAATGCATTCATAATCATATTGCATGTTGCTACTAAATAATGATGTTAAACACTATTTCTCCAACATCAATATTTCCATAATGTGATAACCAGTGTTGGAATTGGACCTGGTCCAATTCATGTCCGACTGGATGTATGTCCAATTGGACATTAATCATCAGTGGTTTCACAAAAATTTTTTAAAGTTTTTTAGGAACATGAACAAAGATTCTTTTTCCTGGAGATGAGAATAATCAATATGATGATGGTAATTTTTAGCAATTTTTTTATTAAGATAAATATAATTATTATTATTAAGCAAAATAAAACTTACAATTTTACATTTGAGGTCCTGAACCTGATTCTTCATCTTCAATATGCACCAGTGCCTCAAGTTTTCAACTTTACTAAATGCATCATCAGCCTTGTCTGCAGAATAACCAGGTAAAAAATAAGTAATTATTTTGTTCACCTGTTCTTATAATAAAAAAAGTCAAGTGGAAGTTGAATGTTATTTTTGATTTGGAAAAAATTTGAGCATCCTATATATTTATTTATCTTTATGTTTTTTTTTAATTTTGTTATACTTGAATTGGTTGATTCACACCACATATATTAATTTAACTTTTTTACAGCAGGTCATACAGATTAATTGATATTGTATTTTTTTGCTCTTTTATTCATTTATTAAAATCTTTTTTATTTCAAATATGCTATGTATATTTTTGAATGCCTAGTTAATATTTTGAGTCAATTAATATTATAATATTATTAAAATTTACAATTGATCTAATAAAATGTAAAAAATGACACTTATTATTTGAAAATATTGTTATGTCCAATTGGACAAAATTTCCAATACTGGTAATAACAGCTTTCATCCATTAAACGAAAAAATAATAACAAAATGTTAAACAACATTCTAATAAAACGAATTACGAACAATTCGAATAAAGTATTTGTATTATTATTTATTATAAATTCTAATCTACTCTTATAACCAAGATTAATATATGGTAAAATTTTAATTAAACTGTTGATAGATTGTTCTTTCACTTGGTCAAAAAGTGACATTAATCTTTTCTTTCTTTTCTTTTAAAAATAATATAAATAAAAATTCTAAGGTAAAAAGTACTAATAAAACAAAAAGATGTCCGAAACACGATTGGGCAGCATTTTGATAAATCCGTTTTATTTATTATTATTATGTATGTTTTTGAATAATAAGTTGTTTTTAATAATTTAATAAAAATGCTAGAGAAGTGAAATTTTACATGCATAATTTGACGAACAAATGTTATTTTTTTTTAATTTTTTATTATGTATGTTTAAAGGTGTGCACGGCTTTTGTCCATATTAACATATCATTTCTAATTTACCAAATATTCGAATATTCATGATTAAAATCACTAGTTATAAAACTAGCGAATATTAAAAAAATATCTTTTAAAAACAATGGCAATTCAACCGCATGGGGTATTTTAAAAGATTTATTTTCTAGAGCAACGAGAAATATTACCATCAATTATAAAAATATAATTGTTCCCGCGATATTCTTTAATGGTAATACAAAATCACGACCTCGTATTATTGGTCAATTTAAAGTAAAAATAGTAATAGCCCAAATTCTATATCTCATAGATCATTTTCATATTAGGAAGTGATATGCTTAGAGAAAATTTTAATCAGAAAAATTTTAGTTTATCAATAGCCGATTAACCATTTAAGGAATAATATTATTTAATTTTTTTTTTCAATTAAATATTGATCTACGTTCAGCGATCAAATCCATGTAAGATCAAGTAGGTGTGTCTATAATTAAAAAAGACCTGCTGTAAAACGTCAACGTGGTGTTGTAGATGCAAGAAAGCTTTACAAGCTAAACATAAATCTAAAACCAAGTATAAGAAAAAGAGAAAAGGAAAATTTTATATAAAGATTTATTTATTATATATCTGCAAGCTTGTTTGCTTGTAGATATCAAAAAAAAAAAAAGGCCCAAATTACCTTTCTTTTTTTATATTAATATTTATATAAATTACGGATAAACCATCAATCCGATTATTATAATTAATATTAATATTAGCGATATTAGTTATCTCACTCTCTCACTTGACATTAGTGGGTGGCTTTTTTGCTAAATATGAATATGTAATGGTAGCCGTATATGGACTTATCGTCAAAATTAATATAAAAATTACGTTAGAAATTACTCCTGGAACCACTAATACATTTTCAAATGGAAACTTCTTCAAACTACACACCCAACTATGTTTGAAATAAGCAAACTTTTATTTCATAAATTATTCGAATGATTACCAATACAAATACAAACTAAAACAAATCACAAAATATATCAAATATACAATGATACGTCAATCAAAATTATACTTGCTACTCTATTCACCCGAAGGTAAAGCAAAGCATGTAATCATCATTCCTAATTATCAAGCTAAAAATTGCTAAACAAGATCCCTTATCAACCAGGTGGGTAATTAAAGCTTGCTTTTTGAGTTGAAGTAAAAAATACTTGAAGAAGCAATGTGACCTCACCTTGGCCGTGCACAATCACCAAAAGTGGTAGCTTGCAGCATCATATGGCCTCTGTGCAGTCATGTGTCTTTGTGTACCTGACCTGGTAATGTTTCTAAAGTGTAGAACGCCATCTAGTTTTCCCACCCGACCCTTTTTGTATACTTACGTTCTGCCACAATATTGTGAGCTAGCATTCACATCATTCATCAACAAACATCAAATTTATCAATGGAGTCTAACGCCAGATTTAATAATGTTCTTACTGGACTGGCCATAATATATTAATGGTGATAGATTTCTTTTTTTGCTTTACTTTATATTTCAAAAATATATTAATACTAATGATAGCAATGTTTTGAGTAAAAGCTCTTGTTTTTTGCCCCATCCAATTAAATAATTTTCCTATAATTATGAAATTATGAAGCTGGCTTCTTTTTTGAGCTTGGATTATTTAAAAGTCATGCTTGCTATTCAAGAATAATTAGTAATAGGGTAGATTATAGATAGATGATATAGAGATTAGTATGTACTGATGGCATACCACCAACAGCAAATGTAGCTTTAATCAATGTATATCACATGTATAGCAAGCTCTAGATGTCTTGATGTAATACGTTTCACTTTTAAATCTAGATGCATTTCCTTCTAATTCAAACATTTCTGCAGATATTCTGGAATAGCAAATTTTGCTCTAATGCACGCACTTTTTCTAGTTTCCAAGTAACGATGAATATATCTCACTTAAAAAAAATGTTATAATATGATTAGCAAAAAAGAAAGCAATTAAAAGTAATGTAAATAAAATAGGAATTTAATTAATATAACACGAACCTCTTTATCTTTTAAATAATAATGATAATATCATTTACAGCGTGTAACGAAAATAATGATGGTTCATGATTTTGCATAACAAACAATAAAATGTTTTGTTTATCTATCTTTACCAGCTTTCTTATCTCTCATTGAAGACATTTATAAAATAAAAGGCTTCTATTTTCTATCTTACAATCACGTGTTACACGAAGATTGAGGTCTAACTTCAAAATGTTTCACATTACATTATACTAGTCTATTCATCAAGGAAAATACATCACGAAGTGAATATTTCCTTTCGTACCGTTGAACATAATTCTAAAATGCCTAAAAATGAGTACTATTGAACATAAGCAGGATGATGGCTGCCTGATCCAAGGTTTTATATACTTTTTTCAAAAATAATCGAGTTCCTTTTATTTTAATTGACAAAGTTCCAGAAAATATAGAAGCATGTAATTTATATGCAAAATATTCAGGACTTAAGCTACAATCTGATATATTTTTTTTGTATAATGATTACGCATTAGAATAATTATTAAAAAAATTTAACGTCAAAATTTTTAAGTCAAAAATTTGTGAAGGTTTTTAAGATTAGCATTACAAAAAATTGGCAATATTTAATTATGCTTTGCGATCGTGCAAACCTACCTTCATCTATCTTTAAATATTTGTTGAGATATGCAACTTTTTGTCGCCACATTATTTTCGTCACACACTGAAAGTTACAAATTATTAAAAAAGGATTAATTAATAAAATAAACTTATCTCAATTATCCCATTTGGGAAATTTCATTGTTGTCAAATGAAAGTTCGAGCATCATAATAAATGACTAAAATTTTTTATTTTTTCCCACACAACATTTTCTTACGTGTCTTAATTTTTTTTTTTAGAAAACAAAAAAATGTCCGATATTCGTGTTGTAGTTGGAATAGGTACAAAATTTATTAAAATATTATTTTTTTACCACTTTTTATCGAACGAAATATTAATTAACGATTACGATAATATTCTAATGCCCACTTTTTAAAAAAAATAATTAGATTTCGGAACAACCTATTCGGTAAATATTCGTACTTACAATGATTGTTTTTGTCAACTTATCTTTTATCATTATTCTTCTTTTAACTGCAGGGGTTTGCGTACTCGCATAAAGTAAACCCTGACATTGAAACAAATCAAAGTTGGCCAGCAGGCGCAACATGGCCTGGCGCAATCGACAAATTTAAAATCAACACAGTATTGATGTATGATGAAAATGGCGATAAAGTTAAATTATGGGGTTATAAAGCCTTGGCCAATAAAAAAACGAGAAAACGTAACGATGACTCAAAAGATGCTAGACCTGTTGAATTATTTAAATTACATCTAGGAAGAGATATAGAAACTTCAGAAAACTTGGAATCAAGGTTAAACGAAGTTTCTACACAGAATAGTTTCAATTATAAAAAAGCCGTTGCTGATTATTTGTGTGAAATGGGTTTGTGTTTTTATTAACAATTTGTGGATTAATTCATTAATTCATTAATTTGCTAATTATAAAAACAACACCAATAATTATTTAGCCAAGGTAATAAGTATAGTACAATTTCTTTATTATTATTATAATTTAGTCTAAAAAAATTTTTATATATTGTCAGCTAATTAAAGATACCGTTCAAAGAAGATGGGATAATTTAAACTTTTTCGAAAATGTCTTAATAGTTTTAACTGTGCCAGCGGTAAGTTTTATTTTTATACGGATGCACTTATTTTTCAAAAAAAAAAAAAAATTTTTTTGTTGTTGTTATCATCACCATCATCATCACCATCATCATCACCATCATCATCATTATTATTATTAGGAATTTACTGATAAAGCAAAATTTATTATGAGAGAATGTGTATTCAAGGCAGAATTAATTAACGAATTACACAGCGAGAATTTACAACTTACAACTGAACGTATGTGTATTGTGTGATTCTTTTTAATGTTATTGATTTACATGTATATTAGTGCGTAATATTAATTGCTTACTGGATTATACACTATGCAATAACATGTTTAGCTGAAGCCGCTGCAATTTATTGTAGAAAAGTTTTGGGTGAACATTTCGAAGTTCCTTTTGGAAGTAAATAAATGTTTTTTATAATAATTTATTTTTTTCAAAGAAAAATTTTTATTTAAGAATTGGTAATTAATATTTTTTTTTGTTAGAATCATTTTTAATTGTAGATTGTGGTGGCGGAACAGTAGACCTGACAGTTCGTCAATTATTATATGATAATAGTTTAGAAGAAAAAACAGAACGCTCAGGAGATTTTTGTGGTGGAGTCTTTGTTGATCAAGAATTTGCTAAATTCCTTGGTCAAAAAGTAGGACACCATGCCTTGAAATCTTTTAAAGAAAACCATTATGGTCGATATCAATATATGATTCATGAATTTTTTCATAAAGAAAAACATCGATTTAGTGGCAACGAAAATGAATTTGACGTGATCGACTTTGACCTACAAGATTATGCACCATTGTTAATCGATTATATCACTGATGATTTGTTGAAAAGTAGATTGGAAGTGGATGAATGGCAAGTCACATTGGAATTTCATCATATGAAATCATTTTTTGATCCTGTTATAAATAGAATTATTGGATTGATAGATAAACAATTAGAAAATGTAGAAGAATGTTCTGCGATGTTCTTGGTTGGTGGATTCAGTGAATCGAGATATTTACAAAATGTAATCAAAAAAGAATTTCACGATCGAGTCAAGAATATTTCCGTGCCTCGTCATCCTATGATAGCTGTTGTTAAAGGCGCAGTGGAATATGGTTTGAATATGAAGTGTGTTAAAAATAGAGTGTTGAAAAAAACTTATGGTGTCAAAATGTTCAAGGGTGATTTGTTGACTGTATTTTTATCCGAGGTCATACTTGATACGAAAGTTCCAAATTTTCATCCTCTTGTAACTCGTGGTACTAAAGTTGATGTCGACGAAGAATTTTCTGTTATTGGTTCACCATTACATCCTAGTTCGACAACCGTGTCTATCCAAATTTTTGAAACATTAAGTCGTAATCCTAAATTTTATGATGAACCTGGAATGAGAGAATTAGGAAAAATTAAAGTTGATTTACCTGAAAATCCAAATACAAACAATTCAAATGGAGCATCTTCATCAAGTAGTGACAACAACCAAGATAATTTAGATGGTGATGATGATGTGGATGATAAACGTTGCGTTGAAATAATTTTACGTTTTGGTGAGACAGAAATAAAGGCTATGGCCAAAGTTAAAGGAACTGGCGAAATTCGTGAAGCACTAATGAATTTAGAATTGTAATTTTATTATGTATTATTATTAGAAACTTTTTTGATAATTGATTTTTGTTGATGACGAAAATGGGAATTATCATAAATTAGAAATTGTTAAAAAACGATTTAATTGTTATAGATACAAATCGCGATGGCGTATTTTTGGACCAAGCAAGAAAAAATAGAAATTTTTATCATAAACATTCATAAACGTTATAAATGATATTATGTAAATTACTGTAAAGTTCGGAAGGATAGCACCCCAAAAACATTTGAAACAACTGTTAATATTAATATTACATGGTTTTAAAAATTGGGTGCTATCTTTCCGGTATGTAAACATTATTATTTTTATTATTTATTAAAATAAGGAATAAAATTAGTGGGTTTTTTGTTTTTTTTTTTTCTTCAAAGATCATTTTTGTCCATTTGGTTGATGGTGTCACTGATGTTGCAAAAAGTCTTGCCCAGAACGTGTCTTGCTAGTAACATAATCTATCAGATGGTGGCAATAATTGGTATTATCTTGTGAAAATAAACACAAAGTGATTTTATTACCTATACCACCGCACTAGGAATTGATAGCGTTCTTGTGCAATTATTCTGCCATATAGAGCATTACAAATGTTACTATTAATCACGTTGGTGGATCCGTACAGATTACGATCTTTGAAAGGCATGGTATTAGCAGTGTAATTAATTGTTTTTGGACTGATTTCGCATCTCGTAAAATATTGATCATGATATGCTCTAACTGTTTTGATGAGCAGGCAATTTATTGATTTCTTTTTTTTTCTTGCCGGCCCTGATAAAAAAGAGTCATGAGAAAATATTCCAGTAAGGCGTGAATTCAAAAATTTTCTTCTCTGGATAATTATTGGTTAGAAACTTCTCCTAACAGAAGATTAGGCGAACCCTGAACACCTTTCAGAACTTCTTTTGTCAGAAGATTAGGCACACACATGGATTCTTCTGTCAGTAGATTAAGTACGCCGAGCTTCTCAGAGATTAGGCAAAAACTGAAAAGATTTTTGAATCTCAAAGGCTGTTAATACAGCTTGTGCTTTTATTCTGTGGTCATGGCATTGAGGGTTTTCTAAGTTTGAATTTATTGTAACCGTTATTGGTATATGCAATGCCGTGAAGGATGAAACACTTCTTATTCACAAATTTGTATTCTTGAAAAATCTATAATATTTGGCAGTTTTAAAGAAAATTCTATCTGGGAAATTCAAAGGAAGTGTGATGCTTGGCCTTTCATGGGAAAATAAACATGTTGGCTGTAAAAAATTATTTGAAATTGCATTCCCGGAACCAGGTTGTCCTTCTGAAACAACTAAATCCTAAAAAAATCTTCATGTAAATATATATACTATCCAAAAATCCAGATTTTTTTCATTTAATGTTAATTTACACCTTGAATATAATACTTACATTTACAACATTGAATAACTGGTATTTTATATTGCTCTTCAAAAGTTTCAGAGAGCATTTGTCAATATACCAAATTGATTTTTCTAAGTCATGTACAAGTGATAACTGATATTGTGAGATCGTATCCAAGTCTCAATAAGGATAATTGTTTATAACAATATACAACTTATACTAAAGTGTAATTATGACCTCTGCGAATACATATCCATTGCTTTACTATCTTCCGCCATTATATGCTGACCACGCTTCTTGGTAAGTGCCCTCCACTTAACAAGTCAGGCATGTATGACTTTCAATATCCTGATCATGTTTCTTCCTATTAGCTGTCATTAGAGGTTGGAATCGTCAAAAAAATCCTTAGTCGACTACTAGTTGGTCAAAAATTTCTTTAGTCGACTAAATTTTTTTTTTATAATAATAATATT